TTTCATTAGATAGAAGGTGCCTCAGGAACAAACTTAATATTGTTATCTTGGATACCCTTGTAGGCCTAGCTGTCTGCCACCACAAACATGCCTTCAGTCAGTATACATAACGGTACTATAATTCGATCACAAAATAAGCTCAGTTCAAACTATATATATTTCAATGATATTACCCACGTGGCATTATGTCGAACCTTATACAGCACCGGCAATTTGTGTAAACAAATTTTGGACGTCGGTGGGTGAAAGTTTCTTATGCAAAGTTAATTTGGGAACAAACATCACAGTTGCAGACAAACACATGATTTTATTCCGTTCATCTTCATGGCGTACCTTTTATTTCCATTCAAGTATGACCCATGTCTTGTGCTCGATACGTTTGCTACACTAAACTCAGATATTGTTTTATTTTATTATCGGGGTGTAAGGTGAATTCGATATACTGTATTCATTAGAGAGAAGAATTTTTGAGGGGGCTTTTATTCGAGGGAAGTGCTTTTTTTTTGTGTAAAATAGATACGTATTATTTATACTCAAATAAACGATATACATGTTGAACTACAACACATAATTACTATTGTTTAAGGAAGGTGTTTATTCTAGACTTTGAAAAGAAACTCTAGAAAGGAAAAGGAAAGAAAAGATAAGGAAACATAGAAAGGAAATGGAAAGAAAAGATAAGGAAACATAAGAATGAAAAAGGAAAGAAAGATAAGGAAAAACAAGAAAGAAAAAAAGGAAGGAAAAGATAAGGTAAGATAAGAAAGAAAAATAAGAGAAAAGATAAGAAAACATAAGAAAGGAAAAGGAAAGAAAGATAAGGATACATAAGAAGAAAAAAGGAAAGAAAACATAAAGACAGATAAGAAAGAAAAAGGAAAGAAAATATAAAGAAACATAAGAAAGGAAAAGGAAAGAAAGATAAGAAAATGAAACAAAGAAAAAGGAATAAGATAATGAAACAAGTATGAAAAAGGAAAGAAATGATAAGGAAAAGTACGAAAGGAAAAGGAAAGATATGATAAGGAAACATAAGAAAGAAAAAGGAAATAAAAGGTAATGAACATAAGAAAGGAAAAGGAAATAAAAATAAGGAAACATAAGAGAGAAAAGAACAGATAAGGAAACGTAAAAAGGAAAATGAAAGAAAAGATAAGGCAACACTAGAATGAAAAAGGAAGGAAGATAAGGGAACATAATAATAGATAAGGAACTTGGGATTGGGAAATACAGGCAAGGGTTGTTTGGAGGAAAGGAAAGAAATGACAAGCAAAACACATAACAAAATGTAAATAATGAAATAGTTGAATTGATAGGAAAATCTAAAATAAAATGGATAGAGAATAAAGAAAATAGAATGAGGAGGTAATTGAGATAAAACTTTGTTGATATTTAAATTATTAATCATTAATATTATAAAAATAAAATTAATAAAAAAGAAAAATAAATATATAAATATATAAAAATTAATCATAAAATTAACCCTTTTTGTTTTGATTGCTAAAGATTTTCACTTACTCTTTTAATCATCTTTTCTTTTATTTCTGTTCCGGTATTTGATTTTAATGCACATAGGTTTATAGCATTCTGCGCTATATCAAAATAAATTTATTATTATAAGAGGACATCTATTCGAGAAGAACGTTCTTTCAAAGAATCATTCAATTTCAATTATCATTCAAACATTGTTAGAAAGCAGGACCATTGGAATTGGGCGAGGGTCAGCGAGGCACAATTAACGAAAAGGGGAGTTGTAATCTAAGCTGAATATCAGCCGACCTTCAATGATAAGCAGGAACAAACACCCTTCATAAAAGTAGGCCAAATAAGAAGAAAAATGCTTACACAGTTTCCAGTGTGTCACCATAGTGGAATTCTAGACTTGCCACCAGTGTAAATGGTCCGTCTAAAAAAAAACAAAAAAAAAAAACATAACGGTTTTCCCAAGTACCAATAAAATTAAAACAACAACAGAACAAGTCGCATCATCTGCACCAATACTAGTACCAGAATCACCACCAACAATAGCATCAACAGCATCGGTACGACCATTACCACCAACCTTACAGCATCAACCCCACAAACACCAGCAGCAGCACCACCACCACCAATAGCACCAGCAGTATTAGCAACATCAACAATACGTGTTTTTAACATTTTTCGTTAGTTTGGAGTCTAACATTCTCTTGTATTTAGTGGCGTTCATATATCCATTGTCGTCTCTAGTTTTCGTTTTGAGGTGTTGGCGATTTTCACACCGACTCTGCCTTCCCGTTGCTTTACGGGTAATTGGGAGAGCTTGTATTTTGAAACTCTAGGGAATTGAATGGTGGCCCATTGTCCGACTGGACTGTGATGGGAACTCCATGGCGTTTGAAATGTATATTAAGACAATTGATAATGCTTGAGGTATCTTTGCCTGTTAGACACTCAAGTTCAAAATAGTCAGAAAAAATAGTCCACAGCTATTAATCGTTGCCCTTTACAGTTGCCAAATCAATACCTATTTTCTCCCAAGGTAACTTAGGAAGATCGTAGTTTATCAATGGCTCTATTTTGTTGGGTACATAGTTGGCTACTGGGCTTTCCAAATAGTCTTTAAGTTCTGCGTCCATGCCTGGCCAGATTACAGAATCACGCGCTCTTCAGAGAGTGATGGCTAGAAAAAGGTGTGAACTATGGGGCTCATTGCGAATACTAGAACGCATTGCCTTTTTACTAAGACTTGGTTAAATTTAAGCACTAAATCACCCTGGATTGCGAGGTATTTCTGAACGGATAATGCGCTTGTGCTGCCTGTGGTATCGTTTGCCTGCCAGGCCACCCTGAAACGATGTATTGTTTGACTGTCTGAAGAGTTGTTGAGGTGTTTCTTGAGCTCTGTTGTAGTTCACCGAGTTGCGCTGTGATAGAGAACTATTTTGTTATCACTTACAATTTGGGCGTGTTGTGGAACAACACGAGAGAGTGTATCCGCCAGGTACATTTGTTATCCCGGCTTGTAGTGTATGTCGACATCGTATTGATTTAAGTAATTTAATTAGCAGTCACTGTAGTCTCTTTGGAGCTGTTACGAGTGGCTTTCTGCTAATGTTAACCAGTGGTTTGTGATATGTTCAAAATGTTATTTTCCGTCTATGTCTAATAGTGATTTCTCTCCAATCCAAAGTCTTGAGATAACAGCTCTTTGTATATTTGCGAGTATCTCTCGGCTGATGTCATCTTTCTACTAGTCCAAATTACGGGTAGCTCATTTTGAACGAGGGCAAACCCTAATCGAAATTCAGATGCGTCACCTTGACCCATGAGTGGCACTGTTTTGTCAAAGTACTTTAACACTGGGGCAGTATCAGATCACGTTTAATACCTGCGAATACATCACCATTTAGGATTTACGCGTGAGGCTCAAGTCTATCAGAGAGGTGCGGTACAAATTTTGCGAGATACTTGACCATTCCAACCATTCTCTTACAACTTCTGGTGATTGAAAAGGAGGCATGTTATGCATAGCGTCGACTTCAGCTGGGTCAACCTTCAATCTTTTGAAATTCATTCTGGAGAATAGGGGTAGTAATATGCGTACCTGACTCACTGCCACCGCAGTTTTCCCTTTCATTTGATGCCGATGCGCTACTCGGTGCTGGGCTAGTGGCACCCATATCTCAATCACACACGAATTTACAATTTTATTATTTCATTTGGATGGTAATATTAACAGGTACAGAGATCGAAATCACAATTTAATTTAAAATAGGTAATACAAATTGTTGTAAGCGTGATGTAACATTGTGGAATTTTAATAGTAATGTTATGATTTTGTTTTTAGTTAAAATGATACAAACCTTCTTCAAGTGGATCATCAGCTGATGTCGAGAATGTGACGCTATTTGGGTCAGACATTACTAGATAAACCTCGGATACTTCTGGTGTTTCTTTCACACACCTTACACCATCTATAACACAATAACACAAACCTAACAATCGGAATCTATACATTTATAATAATTATAAGCCTAAACAATTGGAATCTACGTCCTAAATAACACAAGCCTAACATTCAGAATCTACACACCTTTATGCATTGTAACAATTTAATCTGGAATCTATGACATCTTAAATAATATCCTAACAATTAGAATCTATACATTTTAACTAATGTATGCTTATCAATCCATACACCTTATAATATATATACACATAAGCCTAACAATCAGAATCTATGACATCTTAAATAATATATGCCTAACAGTCGGAATCTATAAATCTTATATACACATAAGCCTAACAATCAGAATATATTAACTAATCTATCAATCGGAATCTATAAATACACATAAGTCTAACAATCAGAATCTATGACATCCTAAATAATAAAAACCTATACGCCTTAGCGTTCGGTCCTACTAAACACCACACGTAACACACTGACCACTGATGCAAAAATAATTAAAATATTACCACGCGAGAGTAGAAAACTCCCTAATAATCAATAAAACCAACTTTTTAAAGTGATAGTTATCCGAATTATGGTAAAAATTGACAATTTTTTTAAAATGTTTTGCCGCCGTGGCTCAGAAGGTAATACGTTGATATTGAGTATCTCTAACGCATTAACGTCTGCAGAAACGCGTTCAACCGCGACCATTATATTAGGCATACACACACTACGTACGTTTCATCTCACCTCGAGACATTCTATGAAGGCTAACTGAACTTAAAAACTGTAAATATGAAAAAGAAAAATATAATTTGCTGTTAATATTATTAATTACTACGGTATTATGTTATAGAAATTAAAACTGTACTATTTATTATTGTATTGTCACATAATTAATAATATTATAATATATAATGATATAGGCCTATTTAAATTATGTATAATATAAAAGTAGAGACTAATCACAAGTGACAAAACAAAAGAGTTGACGTATTTCGGAACAAAAATATATTTATTTCTACTCGAAAATTTTAATCGTCCCTGCTTTCTTTATTGTGATATTATTGAAGAAGAGCGTGTACATGATTAAAAATAATAGTAATGGTTTATGTAGCTGTACAGGGCTGTTATATATGTCTATGTCAATAAACTATAAATATACTGCGCCGTAGTTAGTCCTAAAATGCTTTAGGAAGCAATCGACATATTTTACTACAAAATGATAATAAAGTGAGCGATCCCAAAGTGAGTAGATAGTTAAAAAGAATGTGTTATTAATAAAAATGTGTTTATAGAAATAAATATATTTTTGAATCTTGAATCTGTTTTTATTCTACTCGTAATCCAATGGAAGCTAATTTTTGACTTCGGATAAATTAGTCGTCCTGAATCTATTCATATACTGTATATTGTATATTAATGCAATCTCCTTTACTCAATTGTTGTAACACTAAATATAATAAAAAAAATAAAAAAATAAAAAAACCTAATACTATTATTATTAAATAACGGAATGGATTTTGAGCTAACATTTTTTTCTCTTCCGTGGGAGTTACACCTACATTTATTTCAATCTTATTTAAAATTTTCAATTTTAGAATACACATAATTTAAAATAGATAAGGCTTATTACGATACTATAACAATATTAATAATAATGTTGTGAAAATGATAATAATAAATAGTACAATTTTGTATATTACTATAACATAATACAAAATTAATAATATTAACAACAGATTCTATTTTCCTTTTATTATTTACAATTTTTAAGTTTATTAACCTTCATGTGTTGTGCCTTGCATATTTTTCTCTCGATGAAATGTAACGTACGTAGTTTATGTAGGCCTATTATGTAAGTCAGGGTTGAATACGTTTCTGCAGACGTCATTGCGTTAGACAAAGCACGGCGGCAAAACCTGTAAAAAGAATAATCAATTTTTACCATAATTTAGCCAACTATCACTTTAAAAGTTGGTTTTTATTGATTTTTAGGCAGTTTCCTGCTCTCGTTTGGTAATATTTTAATCATTTTTACATCCGTGTGGTCCCGTGTTGTAATAGATATATTGTTGTTAAACTAAAGTTCATTACAAACATTCAGAAACACGACTGATGGTCCTTATTCATATTACATGCACTGTTAATAGATGATTTCAATTCTAAATTCACCTAACTATGGAACTTTAAATTAACAAGGGAACGAAATACGGCCACCATGATCACTATTGCAGTAGGTGGATTAACTACCGGTATGTTTCAACATTCCAATAACTAGCCATTATTTCCAAGAGCACAAAATGCACAGTTAGATCAATATTAATTGTTGAACTATCAGCTTCCTCACAAATTATTTACTATTTCCAGAAGTTCGAACTCAAGGTTTAGTCACTTTTGTAGAATGTAAAATTAAGTTTCAACACCTAATAATTGAGTCGTTAGGTAGCTTTTGATTAAACAACGACGGTAGGACCTAGAACATGATTACGTCACATAAAGTTATCATACGAGAACGCTGATTTCTCGTATGGGTTCTAGGACACAGTTTGGGACGTATTTGCGTTGTGCAGAAAAAGCAGAATGGTTACGGATGGGTGAATCTGTTTTAAGGTACGTTGTCAATCTAATCAAGAGCTCCATATTATTTTTTTTTCACCTTCAGACGTTTGTGACTTGCGATTACAACCTGTAGTAGATGTAGGTCTAGTAGAACCAACAGCTACAAAATATAAACATGTCCTTTTGTTACTATTATTTTTCAAAAACAAATTTTCTAACTTTCTTTATTTACAAAATGTCAAAATATCCAATGTGTTACTGAAATCCTAAATTTTAACATCGAACAATACGATGACGATGGCAACGGCAGAAGCGGAGGCGGTGCAGTGGCAATGACAATGATAACGACAATGACAATGGTAATAATGGTTATGATTATTGTAGGCAAAATTATTGTAAAATTTTAATATTTTACATTGATTTGTATAAGATACATTAAAAATATTCGCAATAAGCTCAGAAAAAAAGTAAAGTTAGTACATATAAAGCGCTGTAGGCATTTACTGTATTTGCACTAACTTATATATTCATCATATTGGGGTTTTTTTGCCTACGTTAATACGGTGAAGTCATTCTGCAAATGGTCCTCATATCCACACCCTTCTTCAGATCGTGACCAAAATTGAAACACGTCTTTATTAAACATGACAATCTATTCTGC